GTCGGCGGCACACGGGCGGCGGGTTCTAGGTTCAGTTTTGCGGGTTTTCACGGGGTGTGTAGGGGGTCTCCCAGCAGGTTCAGCAGGGGTGTGGATACGGGTCATAGTGATCACAGGCCCCCCGTGGAAACTCACTGTGCCTGCTTGAAGGTCCAGGTGGCAACCAGACGCCCTCAAAAAGTCCAAGCCCAGAATATACGGGTCCTGTACATCTGCTATCCACACCGGATGATGCACTTCAACTCCCCCCACCAACACAGTCAGCATGCCTTTTCCTCTCATAGGTACCAGCTCTCCTGTGACTGTGCGTAGACGCACCGCTGTCGGTTCTAAATGAGTCTCACTGGACAACACATCTGCTCTCACCAGGGTTACTGTCGAGCCTGTGTCCACCAGTGCAGTGCAGGGCACCCCTTCCACAGTGACAGGGGCATAACAGGAATCCCCACCACCAGCACGGCCCACCGCGACGACAGGCTCCAAGCATGTGCTGTCATATTCTTCAGGAAGGAGTAGAGCCCGGTTCCCCCGGCTGTGCTGTCGGGCTCCTTCCTCGGATGTCTGTGTTGGTGGCAATAAGGCTGTGGTTTGGTTGGGGGGGTTTTGGGCCTGGCTCCGCATCTTCCCCTTTCCCTGCCCCACGTCGTTTCCCTGGGCCTGGTGTGCCTTGGGGCAATCTCTGGCCAAATGTCCTGGCTGACCACACCCCCAGCACACCCTGTTACTTGGCCTGCGTGTTGGCTGCAGAGACACAGCCCTTATCAATTCAGTCATTTCAGCAACCCATGCAGGCTTATCCTCCTCTCTGCAGCTCCTCACAACTGGTGGTACCGAGCACCAGGATCTGACCCCGTTCCACTGAAAAGCAATGTCATTTATACAGATGAGACACAGGAAGGAAGACAATCCACATTACAGTCCCAAGAAGGGTGGGGGGCAGACAGAAGGGGAAGCACAGTGTGTTAATTACAACCCTAACATCCATATGATAATTGCCTGACAATGCTCAGAGCGACACCCGTCTGAGAACATTTTGTAGAAAACCTACATGCATAAATTCCCAGCACAATTCTCCCTTTGGCCGAAATAACGGCCACAATAAATATCAAACAATTTATCATGATATCAATGAAAACCTTTTTTTTAAGATTTAAAATAACATATATAAAAACTGATAATGAGGAACAGTGCTGTATTCTGTGTAAAAATAGACATTTAATGTATTAAAAGCTGGGCTGGAGTATAATAATCTAAAAGACTATGTCAGTTTACTGTTCAATGTCATATGGAAGCAACCAGACGTATGGGAAAAATGTGTATGTGTTATCAAAGTCTTTGTGCAGTTGTAACTGTTAAGTCATTTGTTGGTGGATGTGTCATTCAGGCTTCTGAGATGACAGCTATGGCTGCTGACATGACTGATTTCAATTTGCAACAATTTGTCCCACCAATCTTGCATAACCATATCAGAGAAGGAGATGCTCTGGTGAAGATCTGTGTTCCATCGTAGAGTCCTCGTTGGTGACACAAGCTGTCTGCTTGCATGTCACTTGGTGGAGCTGTGGAAAAGCCACTGGTGGAGAATCAATCTCATTCTGGCGTTGGTCACTTTAAAGCAGCGTTCGGCGTGCACTTAAAATGGGGTGACTTGCTGAGCTGTTTTGCGTGTCCCAGCTTTGAGGTATGCACACAGGTGACGTTGTCATATGGTTCGAGGATCAATGCAGTGGCCGGCATGAATCCAAGTTGCTCTCTCAGCGATTTTTACAGCAGTGAAGCGTCTCTCATTCCAGTGATGTGCTCACCAAGAGGTCTTGGCCTGGAGTTTTGCACTTTTTCCTCAGCAGGAGTTAACACCTCATGATTAGTTAGTTAGTAAGTAAGTAAGTTAGTTAGTTAGTTAGTTAGTTAGTTAGTTAGTTAGTTAGTTAGTTAGTTAGTTAGTTAGTTAGTTAGTTAGTTAGTTTAATGAATGTTTGCACACATTCCCCATTTGCTCGCATGGTCTCTAGTTTAGCATGACAATGGAAGAGCGCATGTGGCAAACTGTGAAGAGGCGAGAGTTTATCAGCAGAAATAAAAACAACAAGATTACTTTATACACTACAGAAGGAGGGAAGGGGGAGGTCTTCAGCAAGCAATTTACATTACAAGAAGTGTTGACCAGATGGCCGAAACTTTACATACATGTTAATTACAAACCAATGGTTGTAGAGACCGACTTTGGTTTGTTCTAAGGAAGATGAAATTAGAGGCTAGATGTGAATTAAATCAGTGGAAATAAACAGATAATTAAGTTACAGTAATACTTATGATTAAATTAGACTTAATGATAAATTGCTACAACATTGGTAAATGCATTTTTTTTATCAGGAAAATGCTTTTTTATTTGATTATGTTCAACTCAATCATACCTTTTATCATTTAGTGTTTTATTTATTATGATTATTAGATTGTAGATGGCCCCCTCCT